CGGAAATTGATTAAAGCCAACCAATCTTTTTCATCACACCTTCGGACCGACGGGTTTATTTTATCAGAGTAAATCACTCTGATTCTCTGAAAATCAGAGTCGATTTTGAAAACCACTCTGATGGTCCTGGGTAAAAAATTGAAAGTTAAGATTTTCTCTGATTTATCAGAGTTGGCCCATGTGTCACCCTGATGGATATTCAATAGGGGGTATACCCCAGATTTCTTCCTGGACTCCCTGTATCGGCTAAGTCCTCCAGCTACCAGTCACACGCCTCTCATGGCAACCGCAACCTGGATAATTTTGGCGAAGTCCTCTGCAACCACTCACTCACTCACACCCACCTCATTCCCCCCGCAACCTGGAATATTTTGGCGAAGTCCTCCACTACCAGTCACACCCCTCCCATACCCCTCCCAACCTAGAAAATTTTGGCGATGTCCTCTGCAACCAGACACATCCCTCTCAACTCCCGCAACACAGACACATTCCTCCCTCCCACACCCAACCCAACCAAACCCAACTGTGATCACTGCTGTTTGACCAGCCCCTTCCGTTAGTCACGGGAGTACTCTGGTGTGTTGTACAGCGAAGGTCTGTTGTACAGCACTTGCGCCAGCCAATCACTGGCATGTACTTTGCTCTCTTCATTAGCGAAAAAAATCAAACAGATCCAGCGACATCAGTTGTAGAAGATTCTGCATGGTCAGCCAGGATTGGCTGTTTGTTGCTGTTTCCCACCCAAAATGCCTGCCAGCGCGAGCTGCGCTGCTGACTGAGAGGCGCTGTGGAACAGAGTCTGCAATGGGGGTGCGTTCCGTTCTCGGGGCAAGCCTGAGGCAGAACTTGAGGGCATCAGATATACGAACAGGATGAATCAACTTTGGAGCTGGAGCAAACTCCCCCGTACAACTGATGCCCCAAAGTTATGACTCGGGACTTGTCCCAAGCGTGAAACGTGCCCTAACTATTTTCAGAGAACTCGACGGATCCCAGTTTCCAACCGAAACTTGGCAGTACAAGGCAGATTTTGGCAAAAAAAAAAAATCTGATAAACGTGCAGATTCAATAGAGGTTACCCGGATAAACACTCTATGGTGCGAAATAAACGGTGGGGCGTATATCCTCCGGCATCCGGTACAGTGTCAAAGTTTTTATTTGAAAATGTGTAAAAAAACCCTGACAAATCAGATTTTGAGGCCTGGGGCACTCTGAAAATCAGAGTTAGGCCAAGATTCACTCGTGAAAATCAGAGTAGTAAAAAACCAAAGATAGGCCCTGCTCTCGGTGTGCGGTTTGTGCCTAAACAATGCTGGAATGCGGAATGAGGAAAGTGCACTTGCCTAAGGCTGCCGGTAAAATCCTTCTAGCCCCCAAACCATGGCTGCGTTCTGCAAGCAATAAAGGAAAGTGCATACTACATCAGAGCACCTTCCGAAAACGCGAAATTTTGCTTCGGGTCGAGGGCCAGCCCGCAAAATTTCCCCTAAACCTGACACAATGTACCCGAACCTAGTTACATCGACATGCCTGCAGAACAGGTCCATCTACATATGACATCTATGTCAGGGAAACACCCCACCTCGCTTCCCTCCCTGGAAAATCTAACGCAACCTTGACGCAACGCTGACCTTTGCTCAATCGCGGGGTCCACCTTGCGTGTGGCGTTACATCAGCCGCAAGGGTGTACTAGGCCTCCACACCCCAAAAATACAACTGCCACCACTTTACCCCACCTCGCGAACTTGGGCCTGCCCTGCAAAAAAACAGTAGCTGAACAAACCCATCGCCAAACAGAGTCGTATCACCTCCAACAGCACCACTCTTTCGACCTACGATGTCTCATACCCTAGGTTCTTTTTCATCATTTTTCCCTGGAATATTTCTCAACTGCCCCGGGGCAGCAGGTTTTTGTTGCGCAATTTTGAAATTCGCTCCTCTCTCATTTCGCTTGCGCTTTCCACAAATTGGCCGCGTGGCTTCCAAGCGAGGTTTGGAAAGTGCACCTGGTTTGGATGGTAACCAGTGCTCTCGAAGTCGCTTGAGGAGCTTCCTCAATGTCGACGTCGACGTCAACGTCAAATGCCTGCAGAACTCAGAATTCCAAGGTTTTGTTCGCTAGGGCCTTGTTCACTGCTAGTTCCAGCCAATGATTTTTCGCCGCAATTGGGACCTTAGGTTGGGTTTAGGCTCGTGCACCCAGCCTGAGCCTCATTTTGGAGGTATGGATCGAACCAGAGGACCTCGTTCAGATGCAAGAGCTACAGTTCCGTTCCCCCCTTGTGCAAATGGAATCTCACTTAACAATAATTTTCACGTTTTTTCCTAGGGAAACCTGATCCCCTTGTCAACCCACATCAGGGGGTGGTCTGCAAACCCCACAAGCTCGGAACATCCGATGGGCAACCAACGTCAAAGTGTTAAAAGTGATACCCTTCACGTTTTGGAATACCACAAATCCGTTGTATTAGTTTCCTCGTCAGCGTGTAAAAGCCGCGCGTGGCCCCCTTGTGTCATTGCTGCCCGTTGTCATTATAATATCAACGGTCACATGGCAGGTTTGTTGTGATTACCCTAGGTTTGTTTCCCGTCAGCTATAGTAACTCCCGTTTCAACTGTGCGTCTCCTCCTTGTTCCGAGGGACGGCTGCGCTGGCGAACCGGGCCCAGCTTTCTAGCAAGAAGAAGCTGTGAATGGTGAATTAGGGCAAACCCTACGCAATGAAAAATGTACATATTTCGGAAAATAACGTACTAGAATGCCAAGGATAAGCCGGTGCCTGTCCACCAATAGAACAAATTCGTATGCAAAATCGATATTTTGCTGTGTGATAGGTTCGCGTACAAAGTTTGACCGCATGTTTAAGAACCCTATTCCCTTCCCATTTTTTTCGTGATAAAGATAGTTGCGGGCAGGTCTGGTAATTCGCCAGCTCAGATACGTCAGTTACATCAGGCAATTTCGCTCTTAATAGAACCCAGCTTCTCACACCACCTAACCTGGCGAGTCAACGTTGGGAATCCAGAAAGGTTGTAGCGCATTCCCGCATTCCGCATTCTGGAATTACGGCCTACCGATCAGGCCCTTAGCTACACGCAGCGATGCACGAGGAATACGCGGTACAGTACAAGCAGGGACGAGGTCGCATACCGTCACGGTTGCATTTCTAAGCGTTTCAAGACGAATCTATACGTCTCAAAACGTTACAAGGCGGTTGTAAGCGGTGAAGAGTCAACCTTCTGCATGCGACAACCAAAAACGTTGTCGCGTCATCCTCAACAGCTTGTGGTGACGATGAGGATGGACTGGAGGTGGTCTTGCGGTGCGGGGCGGATGTCCTCTTTCGGCTCGGACATAGCCTTCAGTGTGGCCACTGGCCAGGTTGAGCTTAGCTTCACTCAGGACATGTTTTTAGAAGGTGTCATTCCGAAAAAAAGTGTTATCCTGAATGTTAGAAACTCATCCCAACCGTTGAATTTTCGGAATAGCGGTTGCGATGGGTTTCCAGCATTCTCGGATAACACTTTTTTGGGAGAATATCTACTAAAAACAAGCCCTCACAACGCCCCACTACACCACACCACTCTCTCCGTGCCCAAATATTTTCTGCCCTTGGGATTTGTCAACGTGCACAGTGAATGCTGGCTGATTTTTTTTGGTTTCTCTGTCCACTACACCTGTACAGTCTAGTCCAGATCTCCGTTTCTGTAGGTCGATTGCGCTTCTGATTGGTCAGGTGGTGATTGAATGGACGGAAGAACGAAAGTGTTGGCTGTTCTCTGTGCAAGTTGAGGACTGGGGAGGAATCCAAACTGCCACTTACGCATTCGCTCGAGCTGACCGAAATCCTGCCTGCGGTTTGTTTTGTTCTTGACTCCCCCAGTGTCGGTGTGTCCCGTCCCCGCCCGCCGTGTGATGAGATAAGAATCCCGGCATGGGGGGCGGTCTTTATGAAATCACAGAGAGTTTCTGTGCGGTAAAATGTTTACTAAAAGCGTTACAGAACGTTTGGGTCTGGTGAATCGACGCAACGAAGTGCTTCCCCGGTTTGATCTTTCGCCTGGGGGTGAAGGCATGGGAATCGCCTCGCCCATTGTGAAGGCATGGGGTGGAAACCTGGAGGGCAGATTTGACGGCGCCGTTGTTTCGTTGCAGAGTCAACGCTGTGGAAGCTGGGCTGGAGTTGTGCAGGACCAATTCCGTTCGGTGCCTCCTGGTTTGACTTCGGTTGGGACACCTACCACGGGAAAACGTTTTGAAAACAACTAAACCGTCTGGAACCCAATTTCATTCTCGAATCCGAGGTTAATAGTGTGCTCGTCTGTCCAACCAAAATGCACCTGCATCATCTGTTGTGTGCCAGTGACTGATGGCGTGTCCCAAAGTGGGATGTCGAGTTCTGTCAACGGAGCGATGGAAGGAAGGACACATGCAGAGAGTTTCAGACAGACAAGACCACTCTCAGGCTGTACAGTGCAGTGCGTAGTGTACTGGACAGCATGGAAGGGAAGGAAGACGGGGGGGTAGAGTAGAGAGTAGAGAAGGTACGTGGTTGGGGATGGACCATGAGTGCAGCTGAGCTCTATAGAATGGCTTCCCATGACTGGGTTTGAGTGGACAGAAAGTTAATGAGGTCCGGTTTCCAGTCGCTAGTGGTTGTCGCCAGCTGTTTGTTGGGAAGGTAATTTCGCAAGCGCGCGGTTAGTCGAGTTACAGTACACATTGACGACGACGTTTGTCGTTCATTGTTTGGTTGTCCCCAGGGCTTTCGTCTGGTGATCATCGGCTCAGAGGGGGGGGAGCGACTTTCACATTTTTGGGATGTACGAGCTCCTTGCTTCGTAGACTTCTACAGTGAACCATAGGTGCTAAGCCACGGCAACATGTCGGCGATAGTTACGCGTTTTGAACGGCCGGTGACGACCCCCGTACTCATCATCACGTCGCTCCAAGAGAATTTCCCACATGCGTTGCGCTGGTAGGAAACTTACGACGACAGTCTAGACCGACGCTAACGCAGACAACCCCGACGCCGACAGCCACCAGACTACCGCAGCTGCTGTTAGATCGACGCAGTGAAGTAGCCAGTCAACCCTCCGAGACGCCGACACGATGCTGGCTCGTACAGCAGCCATGGCTCGCTGTTCCACGTCGCCAGCATCTGCAGTCGTGATTTCCTTCGCTTTCCTTCTCCTCGCGTCGATGCCGCGCGCCGTGGCTCCGACGACCATGACCACCGCTCAAAGTGAGTGCGTAATACCGACTACCACGGCCACCGCTCAATGTGAGCTCGTATCCAACTTAAACGCGCGAGTCGAATTTAGGGATCTCGATCCCTCGCGACTGGTAGGTGCGGCATTCGAGGCGCCTCAACTGTCTCCCTCAGAAGGCGAGCGCGTGTTGCTTGAGCCGCTTTTAGGGTTTGAAACCCCTCGCCGACTGTAGCTGCTCGCCGTTGGACGATCACTGCTTTATCGTGTCGTCGTTGTAGCTGATGTCTCGTTGTGCTGCGCGTCCTCGTGACACCAGTCCCGCCACCTCGTTATCCTCGCTATCACCCGCCGTCGTCTGGTTCATCATTCTCCGTCCAGACTATCATTATCTCGACTATCATTATCTCGACTATCATTATCTCGACTCTCATTATCTCGAACCCCCCTCTCCCACATTACCATTCCGTTCGAGAATTTTTAGGATTCTCAGAGATCCCTATCACCCGTCGTCGTCTGGCTCGACTCTCATTATCTCGACTCCCGTTACCTCGAACCTCAGAATCTCGACCCCCCTCTCCCTCATTACCATTCCGTTCCTCCTCCCTTCCCGGTCCCACGTGCCCATTTCCATCACCAAACTTAGCTTTCCCGAAACGGCGCGCTGTCGTTCACACACTCGCTCATATCGCTCCTCCTGTACGCGTTTAACGTGTCCCCGTTTCCTGTCGCAGTGGACGTGCTGCTGGCGATGAAGTCGGCTCTGGGCGTGACGCTGACGTCGTGGCAGTCGGCGTCGACGGAGTGCACGCTGGAGGGGCAGACAAAGCAGGGCAGTGAGTGGGACGCCGTGGACTGCGATGCCGCCGGCAACGTCGTTTCCTTGTGAGAGAGAAGAAGAGGGGGGAGGGGAGGAGGGGAAAGGGGCGGGGGAGGGGTGTGGGGGGAGGGGAGGAGGGGAAAGGGGCGGGGGAGGGGTGTGGGGGGAGGGGGAGGGGGGGTGGGGTGGGGGGGGTCACAGTACTTGCTAGACCCCCTTGAGATTGAAGCCATCACTCTCCTCTGCCGGACTGGACCCCCTTCCCGTGTTCGAACCAAACCGCACAGATGAAGGCAACGTCGCTTGCTCATGCTCTACTCGCTGGGGATTCTCCGTCGCTCTGCGCCATGCGTCGTCGGTTGTGGCCTTGTCACGATTGCCGCGTCAAAGCGCTGCTGCAACCCCGCCTCCCTCCTTCCAGGAACTTTCACATGCAGCCACTGACGGGAAGCGTGCCGGCGGACATCAGCAAGCTCTCGGCTCTCACGTTCCTGTGAGTCTCCCATCCCTTGCTTTTCTGTTCACCTCTGCCTCGCATCCCCTCTCGTCTCGTCACCCACCATTCTCCCTCACACGTCCTCGTCTCCCCCCCCTTCCAACCCAACCCTCCTTTCCCCCTCCCTCTTGCCCTTTTCTCTCTCACCCCCTCTCCGTCTCTTCCCCCCAACCAAACCCTCCTGTCCCCCTCCCCTCTGCCCTTTTCTCTTTCTCTTGCTCTCCGCCTCTTCCCCCCAACCCTCCTCCCCCGCACAGCAACCTGTGCTACAACCTCCTCCACGGAAGCTTTGAGCCGTGGACCACGACCCTCATGCAGATGCCTCAGATCCAAGACCTGTACGACCCACACGCTCTGCTGCTTTCTTCCTGTTTTCACGTATGGTGTATGAGGCGTCTCAAACAGCTTTGAGCCGTGGACCACGACCCTCATGCAGATGCTGCAGATCCAAGACCTGTACGAAATGCACTTTGCTCTCTCTCTCTCTCTCTCTCTCTCTCTCTCTCTCTCTCTCTCTCTCTCTCTCTCTCTCTCTCTCTCTCTCAAGCGGTCCGTTTATTGCTTGGAAAACTGGGTACAGGCTAGGCAAGGCAGGCAAGGGGCAGCAAGGCAAGGTACGTGCATGTTTGGGGGCTCGAAACTACACGAGCTCCCCTAGGGGCTCTGCTATGGCAAAGCAGTCCCCGGGTGCCATGTCGGCGTCAGGGGTGCCCACTGGGGTGTGGGGGGCAGGGGAGGCTTCATTAACTTTCCCCAGGTAAGCCAGGGCCTGTGCCCGCTGCAGCGTTACTGACCAGCGTTGGCGAAACTGGTGGAGCAATTTTGCGGCCTGGTAGGAGCTGGGGTCCGCATTGAAAAGTCTCCTGGCCCCTGTGTCAGCCAGCAGCTTCAAGAAGGTAGGGACCTCGGCGCATGGGCAGCCGTATGTCTCGACTGCAAGTGGGAAAATCCGACATACGGAGCCCGATTTCGGTAATGGGAGATTTTCTTGTCAGCTTGCTCCCGGGCCATGTATCCGCGTCCTTTTCTTGCGTCCGGGTCCCGGCTGCTGATGGGATCTGTGACAGTGACGTCACAGATCCAGACGGCTCCGGAACTGCGGTCTCGGAGGGCGAGGTCGGCCTTGTGGCCGTCTACGGGGCTGTAGATGGTGGTCTCCTTGGTGACTATAAAGTCAGCATCCCGGGCCATCCGTATGCTCTCGTCCCGCAGGGCATTATGGGTGTCAGTCCGACCGTGCCCGGTGCCACACCGGAGCAGGTGGTTGGGCAGCCTAGTGTCGAGGATTTCAAATTCCTCGGCGCAGTTGCAAATGCGGGGGGCTGGGAATGGAAGGCCGAGGCGGAAGGCCAGGGCAATGGCGAAGTGTGGAGCTTCGAGGCGGAGTGATGGGAAGATGGGGATGGCATGAAGCCAGTCCCCTGCTCCATATCCAGCCAGGGAAAAGAGGCGTTGGGTGTGCCCAGAGAGTGGGTTTGGGTCCATTGTCCGTGTGGCTGCCACCTGGCCGGCGTATCGCACGGCCTGGACTTCGAGGGATAAGCGGTGTTGGAGTGGGGAGCCGGAGGGTTCCCTCCTCTCGGAGTGCAGGAGCTCCCGGGCTCGTGGGGGCATCGCCGTTTCACACTTCGCCAGCCAGGTATGCAAGTGGGTGGGGCTGGTGAAAGGTGGCGTGAGGTGCCGGACAGCGTCAGCCAGGGGCCCTCCTGACGCTGCTGGGAGGGCAGCCAAGAGGCCCTGGGCTTGGGTGAGGCTGGTGAGGTAGGCTGGGTGTCCCTCAATTGCGGGGTCGGTTAGACCCAGTCCTCCAAGGGAGGGAGGGAGGGACGCTTGAGCCCAAGTGCGCGCCTGCTCCACCTCCCCTCGAGGCGGTTGGAGGTTGCAGGCACGCAGGAGGGTATGGAAGAGCTCCCTACCCCAGTCGGACCAGACGTCCAAGGGTAGGAAGTCAAGGGGGGTGGTGCGGGTTAAGTATGAGACACGCCGGGACACGCAGCGTGTGAGGAGGAGGGATGAGGACTGAGGGTCCATTGTGGCCAGTGTGGCGAGGGGTTCGGCTAGCAGGGCTAGCTGGGTGCGGAGGAAAGCGGCTGTGCCCTCGGCTGTGCCTATAAAGCTGCCAAGCACGCGGACGCCTTCAGTGTTGAAAGGTATGTCTGGGGGAAGGCGGTCGGGTGCAGGGCGCTCGGCTGACCATGCTGCGCATTTCGCGGGGTTGTGGGAGAGACCGATGCGGTCCATGGCGGCTGTGAAGGTGAGGAATGCCGAGGTGCAGGCGTCCGGGTTGCCGACGAAAGTGATGTCGTCAGCGTATGCGAGGCAAAGGACCTCGGGGTGGGCCGCGGCGGTTGCCTGGAGGGCTGGGTGGATGGCTGCTGCGAAGAGGAGGGGGCCCATGGGATCCCCTTGGCGAACTCCCCGTGCGCTGAGTAGGGGCGGGCTATCAAACTCAGCGTCGAGATAGAGCAGAGACGGCGCGCCATACGAGAAATGGAGAAATGGAAGAAGCGGGCGGAGGGGCGAGGTGTTGATTGCGTGGATGATGGCCCCACGGTCAACGCTATTAAAGGCGTTCGAGAGGTCGACTTGTAGGATGAGTGAGCCCGGGCGCGCAGAGGTAAAACCCCTGGTGGCGTGGATGATTGTTTCCCCGCCGCTCCTGATGGCTACCCCGTATTGGTGTGGTAGGAAGTAGTCTTGCGCGGATTGCGTGGAGGAGATTAGCGCGGCTCTTGCCGCCAGTCGATGGAGACACTCCCCTATTGCGATGGGGCGGGTACCCCCATCTGGCTTGGTAAGGGCCAGGAGGCGTGAGGAGGTAACGAGCTGGCTGACCTCGTGCGGCAGGTTACCCGCCAGTAACCGCTGGACGAGCTTGTGGAGGTTTGTGGCGACGGTGGGGTTGGACAGCGAGGCGTCGCGAAGGTGCTCGAAGGTCATCCCCGAGGGGCCTGCCCCAACTCCATTTTCGGAGCGGGCGAGGAGCTTCGCGAACGTAGCGAAATCGACTGTCGGCGGCCTGCAGTTTTCGTCAAGCCGTGGCCAGGTGAGGCTTTCGACAAGCGGAGGGGGGTGTTTTGACTTCAGCGCGTCCAGGACCGTGGGGGTGGACTTGCTGACTGGGGTCGAAGTCAACGCGAGCAGTGCTCGTCGCAAACTGCCTCGTCGTACCAAGCCCTCGGCGCGGGATATTTTCCCGAGAGTGTCAGGTACGTGGCGGGGAGGGGGTGGCAGGGTGACAGCCGAGGCAGCAGCTTGATACAGTGTATCCCACTGGCCCGCGAGAAATTGTCGAAGTCGTCGTTCCGTCGCGGGCCAGTCAGGGCGTCGAGGCGAGGGAAGGCGAAGTGTGAGGCGCGGGAGGTAAAGTAACAGGGTCCAACCCTCGATGGAGGTTGGATGTTTGGCGAGGAAAAGGAGGGGTGTCAGGAGGGTGAGCGCGAAAAGTTGACGGATTTGGGGGGGTAACCGGCGGGAGAGAGGGGGTTGGCGACTGTCGCAGAGAACTGCGACGTCCCACGTGGCGATGACGGCGAATCTGGAGGGGTCATTCGCCAGTTCTTCCCGGGACAACTGCTGGGCTGCCTGGGGGTGGGTGTCCAGCGGTGCCCGAGTATTGTGCAAACGGCTGGACCCTCGTCCCCTAGATCTTGGAGATGGGTCAGTCTCTCGTCCTCCAGCGCGCCTGTTTGCTTCGACGTGTTCCTCCTCACTGGAGGTCTCAGTCGTGGGGTCTCCCTGGTTCCCTGGTATATAAGTTCCGTCCGCCCGTTCCTCCTCATCAGTCGTTCGTTGCAGTTCCGAGGCACTTAAAGCCCTGTTCGCTGCCTGCTGGAATCCGTTCAGCGGTCCTCCGTCGGAGGACAGATTGCCACGCCTTGCCGCCCCGCGACCGCGCCCTCCGGCCGTCCGTGTGTGGAGTCTTCCGCGTCCGCCTCCGTGGTTTCCTCTCGGGGCGGCCCTGGTCGTCGTTCGGCTTTCGTGCCGAGTCGTGGGGGGAGCCGAGTGCGGTGCGCCTCCCCGGGATGGAGCGACCAGCGCGGGAGCGTTCTGCCGATTTGGAGAGTACTGGGGACAGCGAGTCCCCCCAAGGTCGGGCGAGTCCTCCGGCGTCGTCGAACCGGGATTGGGGGCGCGGGCTCCTCGTCCCCTCGGCGGCCCGCCAACAGACTCCTGAGCGGATGCGGGGGCAGTCGCGGGGCAGGACTGCCGCGCCCCCGAGACACGAGGAGAAATCCCCTGAGCGCGCCGTGGAAATTGGACGTGAACCAGTGGCGCGTGGCGAGGTGCAGCAGTCACCGCGCCAGCAGCATCCCTCTCGCCGAGGAACGCCTCAGCGCCGCCCACAGGCGGGGCCAGGGCAGCAGCGCCGGACTCCGCAGGCGCCGCGCGGGCGTTCGGGCCAGCGCGCCGGCTGGAGGGCTGGCGGGGGGAGTAACCGTGGGTCCGCAGCGGAGAGGCGCCTAGGGCGGGCCGCGGCGACTCTCGAGGGCTTGTTCCGCAGTGTCGCCCAACCCCAGCAGGCTCTGGCGTATTCTCCGCAGCTTCTGGCGCCCCAGCAGTACCAGCAGGCGCACTTGCCTCCCGTGCGTTTACCCCTTCCTCAGGCACCGGCGCCGGCATTCCCTCCCCGCAGTGTGACATCTCTCCCGCTCCTTGACAGCCAGCACCTCTTGGCGTCCCTTCCCTCTGCACCTCCTCCGCCAGTCCTTCCCTCGGCCGGTCCCTTCGATCCGCGTCGGTTGGACGTGCGGTCCGCGGAGATACTGCCGCCCTGGCAGCCGACGCCCCCGGATGTGTCGGTGGTGGGAAGGTCCCGTGGCCCACCGCCGTTGGTGGCACCAGCATCGTTCGGCGGGCGGGCGACAGCGCCCTTTGTCCCCCCCCGCCGCTCGCTGGCGTCACCGACTGGAGTTGAGGGGGGGGCAGAAGCAGCGGAGATGGGGGGAGCGGAGTCCACGGGTGAGGACTCGCCTCCTGGGGACCAGGGGCGGCGTCGCTCGGGTGGGCTGCGGATGCCGCAGAGGGCGCAGCTGGAGCGCCTGCGGGGGAGGGAGCGGCTGGCGGAGACTGCGATCCCAATCGCCACGCTTCGTCGGCTCTGGCACGCGCAGAGGGCGATGGGGTATGCTGTGGAGATGCTGACGGACTCACACTCCGTTCTACGGAGCTCAGTGAGCCCGTGCAGGATGCCTCACGATCCGCTCCATCGCTGCGCGATGGCTGCAGCGGATCTGGCGGTCGTGTCCACGCGAGTGCAGCCTGCGCCCGCCTCGGGAACCGTGTTGGACCCGCGCCTGCTCGCCGTGATGCGGACAGTATCGGCGAGCGTAGACTC